GGGGAGATGGCTCAGTGGAATAAGCGCTTCCCTGGCAAGCGCAAGGGCCTGAGTTCAATCCCCGGTTCCACCAAAAAAAAAAAAAAAGAAAAAAAAGAAAAAAAAGACAAATACAGATCCAGGACTAAATGAAGAGTGAAATAACATCACAAGTGAAAAAACTGCTAAGTGATAAATGTAACTCACTATACCAAAATTTGTAAAATAAAAAAATAGGTTGCCTAGAACAGTCAGAAAAAGATTTGAAAACATTAAAATTTCATTACGATTTTTTAAACTTCAAATTTGTAGGCTGAGGATAAATGAATAGAATAACATTTTCTATCCACTCATTTTCCTTAGCCAGTTTCAATGTTCCAAAGTTTAATTACCAGAGCAGGGAAGGTACCCTGAACTGAACTCAACACTTTGGAAATATTTACAGTTTTTCTCTGTGAGACAGGGTCTTGCTTGTAGTTCAGGCTGGCCTTAAATATGTAGCCCAGGTTAACCTTAAACTCACAGTGATTCTTTTGCCTCAGCCTCCCAGTGCCGGGATCACATGCATGCACCATCATACCTAGCCACATTTATAATAAAAAACCCAAAAGATATCTCAGCAAAGTAGGACTTTAGCCGATAAAGGACATCACATATATATGTATATATTATCCCACTACATAGTCAAAGACTATATTCTTTCCCCACAAGATCAAAGATGAGGACATCCACATTCATAACTTATTTTTTAGCTCAGTGGATCAAAGTGCCTGCAAGCAGATGCAGGGGCCAGGGGTTTAATCCCTGGGCCTGCAGGGCCTGCTTGCCAGCCCCGCCCCCAGGGTGTGCTGAGACTGTAACTGAGACTGGGTGTGGTGGCGCATACCTATAATCCCAGCTCTTGGGAGGCTGAAAACAGGTGGTTCGCTACAAGTCTGAGCTAGTAGTGAGACCCTGAACACCTTGTAGACCCTTCCCTAAAATAAAAAACAAACAAACAAACAAAAACTTTTTTTTTTTTTGGTACCAGGAATCCAACTCATGACCCTGTACCTGTACCCTGTACTACTGAGTTATGTCCCTGGCTCTGCACTCACAACATCTATCTGGTATTGCACTGGAGATCCTAGATGTTACAGTAAGGCAAGAAAAAGAACTGAGCAGAGATTACAAAGGAGGAAGAAAAAATTATCTGTGGACAAGCTTAATGCATACATAGAAAATCTTACACAACCTGCAAAAGCAACTAGATCTAGTGAGTTTAGCAAGCTTGCAAATGAAACTTCATGTTGTCTGAAATATTTAGGGATAAATTTAACCAAATACAGCCAAGAATTGTACATTGACAACTATATTTTTATTTATTTATTTTTGTGGTACTGGGGATTAAACTCAGGAACTTGCACTTGCCAGGCAGGTGTTTAAAACCACTGAGCTATATCCCTGGCCCCTACATTGACAACTATAAAACACTTCTGAAAGAAACTAATAAAGAGCTGAACAATGGAGAGATAGCCCATCTTCACAGACTGGAAGGTTCAACATTGTGATGTTTTCCCCAAATTAAGAGAAACTATCAAAACTGCAGTAGAACTTTGTGGGGAAAAAAAAACCCAAGTTGATTGTAAATTTATGTAGGAAGGTCAAAACACAAGTTTTTTTAATGTGTCTGATACAGGGTCTCACTATGCAGCTTGGACTTGCAGTGATCCTCCCATTTTCAGTCTCCCCAGCATTGGGATTACAGGCGTGGGCCACCACATCCAGTCTTGGGGGCCGGGTCAGCGCACCTGGGGGTGTGGCTGGTGTGGCATGTGGTGCTGGGGAACCAAACTCCTGGTCCGTGCGCTTGCCTAAGCAGGTGATTAGTCTGCTGAACCATCTCGCCAGTCCACGATTTTATAAAGCAACAAAATTGGTGAATTTTCCCTGTGAAATTAAAAGTTGAAAGAGTATAGTAATAGCAAGGCATGATGGTGTTTGCCTGTAATCCCAGCCTTTGGGAGGCTGAGGCAGGAGGATAGCAAGGTTGAGGCCAGCCTGGGCTACATAGTGACTTTAAGACCAGGCTGAAGTACATAGAAATACCCTGTCTCAAAGAACCAAACCAAATCAAAACAGTATGACAATGGTGTATCAACAGACACAGATAAGGTATTATCAAAAAATATGGTGAATGTTTACATGTTTACAATTTACAGCAAAGGACATCCTACTATTAATCTCTCTTTTAACACATTTATCCTACTGTTCATTCCAGTTTCTAAAGCAGTTCTAGGTGTTGTTTTTATTCAGTGTAGTTAGCTATGCTACCATGGCTGCACTGATGCCTTGAATCCATTAAAAATGCTGACCTAGGGGCCGGGGAGATGGCTCAGTAGAGTAAGTGCTTCCCTGGCAAGCGCCAGGACCTGAGTTCAATCCCCGGTTCTGCAAAAAA